GGTCTTTCTATAGTCCATTTGCAATGCACGTTGTTCTCATATTTAGCTAAAATGGCATTTAAGGAAATAGAGCTGAAGGTTAAGAATTGTAAATTTGGAAACCACTAACTTTCTCCGGCAGGTATAGGGCTTTTAATCTCTTGCCAATCCCATGTTGGTACTAGCACGGATCCGCATGCATACACTGGAATTAAAACATAAGGAGTTATTATCACAATCTTGACGAGAAAAGGATTAAGAACTTTCAAATAGAACATGAAATTTTTGTCAGTTTTTCACCTCTTGTAACATTCTTCTGCTCGCTTTCTTCGGTGTAGTTTGCATTTCTCTTGGGTACGCTCTTCCATGTAAGACGGAATTCACTTCTTGGTGGAGCGAAAAATGAGATTTCAAGTCGCGAAAAGGGCAGATAGATATCTGTAATGATGTAGGTACTTATTACCAAGTGACTTGAACTGCTATCACCTACCAGCCGGTGGAACGAATCCAGCCACCCTAACACTACCAGGTCGCCCATTGTTCATGACAAAGTTCAGATTTGGATTGTCCACGGCTTCGGAAAGCTAGAAAAATTTTATTTCAAAAGTTATTTGGCTATAATAAGTGCTTACGAATAATCCGATCTTGTTGACACTATCGAAACCTTGGTAGATCTCTTCAGGAATGCGAATAGATTCAATATGCACAAGTAGTCCCTACAAGGGTCTTTATCAAAATTCATATATAATCTGGCAATATCGGTTACTTTGTCCTCCTCTCCTTCAACAATCCACATAAAGTTCGTATACATCTCTTCCATCAAAACCAATGGTTGCTGAATTATATGCGATGTCGTACTCCCACCATGAACTGAATAACGAACAAATACTTGTGGAAAATGAAGAAAACTACAGGTTACCTCTTGAAAACAGAATTCTCATCGCAGGTTTTATCAAATCTTCGTCACTGTCAATTTCCGACGGTCTCGTGTAGCGAAATTTCATCCAAATGACCTCCTCCTAGATGTTGAATAATCATACATTTTGTAGGAAAACAAAAAAACTTTAAAATTGATGAACTGAGAGAACCTATACGATGTTTCGTGTGAAAAATGTTGCGGATATTTAGCTAGAGAAAGAAAATAACGATTTGCAAGTCTAGATAGAGAAAAGAGCATTACACAATTAAGACTAATATTTTTCGCCATAATGAGATCCTCATCTTCAACTCTTCTTTAAATAAAATAAGTGCAAGGTGCAACTCCATACCCCTCCCCTTCTACTCCCTCCTTTAAAAAAAGATAATGGCGTCTTTACCAGGCCAAACATTGATGCGCTCCTTTCACACCATCGTCCAATTAATGGTCCGGATGCATTCCACTTACGGAACTCCAGATAAGAATCAGTACAATTTGGCGTGTACGGTATTTGTAGTTCACTGTAAAAAAAA